TTTTGGAATTTGATCTTGAATTACACCACTGATTTTTTTATTTTTTAGCCAGAAACTGTTGAAGCTACTGCGCAGTAGCAAAGCCCAAGAGCACGGTTTGGAACCTAAATCCCAAACTGTCATAATTTCAGGTTTAGGAAAACCAGGGAATTATCTTCAATCTCAGCTCACTGCAACTTCTGCCGGCTGGGTCAAGTGATTCTCCTGCCTCAGCCTCCTGAGCAGCTGGGATTACAGGTGCCTGCCACTATGTCAGGCTAATTTTTGTTATTTTTAGTAGAGACAGGTTTTCGCCATGTTGGTTGGGAGGCTGGGTTCTCGGTACTTCTGTGACTCAGGTGATCCCTACCTCCTTTGCCCTCTCCAATAGTGCTAGGAATCTCTACAGGCGTTGACCTGACCACCAGTTTGTAGAACTCAAGGGAATTTTCTTTTTTTTTTTTTTTTTGATGATGCGGAGTTGGCTCTGTCCCCCTAGTTGTTTCGGAGTGCAGTCGGCCGATCGTCAGGCTTCACTGTGAACTCCTGCCTCCTTGTGTTTAAGCGTGAGTATGTGCCGTTTCCTGCCTTCAGCTCTTGTCTTTCGAGTAGCTGGGACTGTTACAGGTCGCTCCGGTCCAATGCTGCGTCTCTCCTAGTCTTTTTTGTATTGTTTAGTAAGAGATTCGGTTTCACCGTGTTCCGCTGTTTCTAGGATGTTCTCGATCTCCCTGACCGCTTGCTGATCCGCCCGTCTCTTGCTTTCCAAAGTGCTGGTGATCTGACTATGGCTTGAGCCACCTGCGCCCCGGCCAGAACCAGGGAGTTTTCTAAACCCTCTCTCACAGAAAAGTCCACTGATAACTTTTGACAAGACTAGTTGATGGGAAATGATGGTTTATAAATTGGGGGGTGGGGAGGATGGGCCAGGCATGGTGGCTTACGCCTGGGAAGCCTAGGCAGAAGGATCACTTGAGTCCAGGAGTTCAAGACCAACCTGGGCAATATAGCAAGACCCCGTCTCTCCAAAAAGTTTTTAAAAATTAGCCTCCCTTTCCTCTCCTCTCCCATCTTCACTTCCTGATAAATCAATGCCATTGTTTTTCCTTCATAACATGAACTAGGAATGTCCTTATTAATAATTTTGCTTATCAATATAGGTTACTTAGCCTGGTTTTTCATCTTTAGCCCAATAGTTCATTAACTGGAACTTTAAAAATCAAAGAATCCAGGCCAGGTATGGTAGCTCACGCCTGTAATTCCAGCACTTTGGGAGGCTGAGGTGGGAGGATTGCTTGAGCCTAGGAGCTCGAGACTAACCTGGGCAAAATAGCAAGACCTCATCTCTACTAAAAATTAAAGAATGAACTGGGCATGATGGTGCACACCTGCAATCTCACATACTGGGAAGGCTGAGATGGAAGGATTGCTTAAGCCCAGGAGTTTGAGATTGCAGTGAGTCATGATTATTTTACTGCACTCCATCCTGGGCAACAGAGGAACTGACCTTGTCAGAAAGAAAGGGAAGAGGAAGAAAGAAAGGAATGAAGGAAGGGAAAGAAAGAAAAAGGGAAGAAAGGAAGGAAAGAAAAAGGGAAGAAAGGAAGGGAAGAAACCACTAAAATCTCTAAGGGTGTTTTTTGTGTTCTATTTTTTTCTAGTACATATAATTTGCTTTATTTTGTTGTTGTTGTTGTTGGTTTTTTGTGGGGGTTTTTTTTTTTGGAGTTTTTTTGGGGGGAAGGTGGGGCAGGGTTTTGCACTGTCACCCAGGCTCCAGTGCAGTAATGGGATCATAGCTCACTGCAGCCTTGACCTCCTGGGCTCAAGTGATCCTTCTGCCTTAGCCTCTCAAGTAGCTGGAACTACATGCACTGCCAATGTGCTTGGCTAATTTTTATATTTTGTAGAGATGGGGGTCTCACTATGTTACTAGGGCTGGTCTCAAACTCTAGGGCTCAACTGATCCTCCTGCTTCAGCCTACATTTACTTTATACCTAGACAACTGCTGGAGATTTGGTAAGTTTTCCAGAAGGGTCCTCCCGGAAGGTTGAAGTCTGGCTTTTGGGATATTGGAGTTAAATGAGAGAATGGGAGGCAGAGTTAAGAGGGGAAACTCGTTTTTAATCTCCACATTTTCCATCCAGGACCTCATCCTTCCTTTACTCTTGCAACCTGAAATAAAGTAAAACTCTTGCAACCTGGAATTCATCAAAATTCAACCAGTTCTGAGTTGAATTTGATTCTGCAATAAACTACAATAGAAGGGCAACTCTGCTAAGTAAATAGTACAAATAAAATAGCAAAGGATTGTTTACCACATTTCCCTACCTGAGACATTACGCTCTTTACACTCTTGAATAAATAACACTTTTAAACTACTCATTTAAAAATAATTTCCAGTTTACGTAAAAGTTACAATAGTATATCCTTTACCTGGACTCCGTAATTGTTAATGTATCATCCCATGTGATTTATTATTCTTTCTCTAAATGCACACACACAGGGTTTTCCCCTGGACTATTTGAGAGTAAGTTACAAACTTCATGCTTCTTTATGCTTAAATACTTGTTTTTCCCAAGAACATGGACATTCTCTTATAAAACCAGCAGAGTTGTTTACTTCAGGAAATTTAAGTGATATGCTTTTTTTTTTTTTTTTGAGACGGAGTCTCGCTCTGTCACCCAGGCTGGAGTGCAGTGATGCGATCTCGGCTCACCACAACCTCTGCCTCCTGGGTTCAAGCCATTCTCCTGCCTCAGCTTCCTGAGTAGCTGGGATTACAGGCGTGCACCACGTCCAACTAATTTTTTTTTTTTGCTATTTTTAGTAGAGACGGGGTTTCGCCATGTTGGCCAGGCTGGTCTCGAACCCCCGACCTCAGGTGATCCGCCTGCCTCGGCCTTCCAAGGTGCTGGGATTACAGGCGTGAGCCCCTGCGCCTGGCCTGATATGATACTTTTATCTAATCTACTGTCCATAGTACAATTTTGTCAATTGACCCAGCAACGTCCTTTAAAGCACTTTTCCCCGCTGCCAAATCAGACCAGAATTGCCTACTGCATTTAGTTGTCATGTCTCAATAATTAACATCTGATATGCTGTTATTTACAAAATGAGATGCTCAAAATAGATTAGAAAATTAAATGTATGCTACAAAAATGCAGTTGCTTTAAGTTCTGTCCTATGTGGTGTTCTTTCCTTTTTATAAAAAATGCTTATGTTGGGCCGGCTCGGCGGCTCATGCCTGTAATCCCAGCACTTTGGGAGGCCGAGGCAGGCGGATCACTTGAGGTAGACCAGTCACACCAACATGGAGAAACCTCGTCTCTACTAAAAATACAAAACATTAGCCAGGCGTGGTGGCCTATGTCTGTAATCCCACGTCCTCGGGAGGCTGCGGCAGGAGAATCGCTTGAACCCGGGAGGCGGAGGTTGCAGTGAGCGGACTCCAGCCTGGGCAACAAGAGTGAAACTCCGTCTCAAAAAAAAAAAAAAAATAAGGTTACTTTATAATGTTATTACTACAGTTCCAAAGAATTTATCACATTTATCACTTTCTTTAAATATCAAAGAAAGTATTTGTTCTAGAATGAGAAGAACTCGTTAAAACTGGAGGCAATGAACACAGTTCCAGCCAAATTGCAGGGCTATATTTTGTACATCTTTGACACTATCTCAGAATTTAGGAAGGACATACTCGAAAGTGGTCGCTGCACCTGTTGGTTCCTTACTTTTGGGGTTGGTGGGAGAATTGGAGAGAGGAAGTGGGAATTTTCACTTTTTACTCTATGAATTGCTGTGCTGTTTAGATTTTTTTTTGACAACGAAGACACATGTCTTACTTAAGAATAAAATAAAAAAAGAAAATAGGGCTGGACCCTCGATGTGCTCGGTTAATCTGAACATCCAAGTTCACGTATGTACTTTGGTTTCGTTGCCTGACGAGAGATGATGGTGACACCTTCCCCTAACTTATGCAGGGAAACGTCAGAGAGGTTAAGTAGTCACCAGACTATTTCAGGGAGAAACAGCCAAGAGAAAGGCTTCTCACAGATCAGAAAAACCTCTCACTTGAACTGGCGGGCAGTTCTAAGATTGACTGACTGCCTTGTAACCCAGAAATTCAAGCAGAAGCTTTCTGGCTTTAGCGCCTTCATTCTGCAGCGGGCACCCGAAGGGCCCGGGGAGCCCGGAGGCAGCCTGCGCGCAGGGAGAGAGGCAAAGGGAGAGGGCGCGCCGACCCCGGGACGTCCCGGGCTGTCAGCGGGGACCGGACGGAGGCCTGGGAAGGTGTATCCTGAGCGGCCCGGCCGGTCGCTGCCTTAAGGATAGGTCCCTTACCGAGCGCTGGGTACGTCCACCGGCCCGAGGCCGCCGCCGCCGCCGCCGCCGGGGCCGGCCAGCACGTCCCCGCCGTATTTCTCCTCCATTCCGGGGCTCACGAGCCGCCGCCGCTGCCCCTGCCGCGGGGTCTCCTCATGTCTCGCCGCTGTCGCGGAACAGCGGGAACAGGCGCGTCACTCCCCCATGGCAGCTGCCCCGTCGGGCTCCCGCAGGCCGGGCCGCCGCTGCCGCTGCCGCTGCTGCTGTCCCGGCTCCGGCCCACTAGCACACGCGCGTCGGGACTAGGCCGCGGGCAGTTCCGGCGGCGCCAGGTTCCCGGGAGGCAGCGCCAGTAGGGACGTTGCCAAGCCACGTCATCAAGCCCAGCAACCCTCACTCCCAGGGGAGTGCCCAGCCTTGCGTCTGCGCAAGCGGAACACTTGCCTTTCCTCGCCGCTTCTTAGGCTCCTCCCGCCATGTTGTGGCGCATTGAAGCCCCGCCTCCTATCAGCCTCTCCGGTTGGCGCTCCCGGTGCACTTTCCTGTCCCTGCAGTGCCACCTATGGGCCGTCAGAAGTACAGCGGATTCCTGCAGAGCAGAGGGAGGGGGCGTCGAAAATGTACAGCCAGTGTGATTAAACAAAGCTCACCAATCTTTTCCTCTGCGTTAGGGCTTCTTTTTTTTTTTTTTTTTTTGATGGAATTTCGCTCCTGTTGCCCAGTCTAGAGTGCAATTGCGCGATCTCGGCTCACCGCAACCTCCGCCTCCCAGGTTCAAGCGATTCTCCTGCCTCAGCCTCCCAAGTAGCTGGGATAACAGGCTTGTGCCACCACGCCTGGCTAATTTTGCATTTTTAGTAGAGACGGGGTTTCTCCATGTTGGTCAGGTTGGTCTCGAACTCCTGACCCCTCCCAAAGTGCTGGGATTGCAGGCGTGAGCCACCGCACTTGGCCTAGGGATTCTTAATCCAGGTTAACATACCCTCTGCCTCTTAGGTTTTTGTGAGTATGGATCATTTTTGTGATAAGAAGGCCTCAAGTCTTAAAAGTTCAGGTGCCCTTCCCCCAACCAGAGATAACTATTTTTGAAGCTGTAGAGAATCGATTACAAATAGCGGTACAGCCATTTCTTTTGAACAATGCCTTTGATGGACTTTGGAGAGAAGAAACTAGTATTGACCAAAATTTGCCTCCTCAGCAAACTATCCCAGGGCAGTTTTCTAGGAGTGACCATGTGCGAATCTTCAGGGCCTTCTCTCCTACTCCTAAGGGAACGTAAAGGTAATTTCCAGATTTCTAAAGAAACATTCTTATCCTGGGCAACATGGCAAAACCCTGTCTCTACAAAAAATACAAAAAACAGTTAGCCAGGCGTGGCATGTACCTATGGTCCCAGCCACTCAGGAGGGAGAGGCAGGAGGATCGTGGGAGGTCAAGGTTGCAATAAGGCATGATCATGCTACTGCACTCCAGCCTGGGCAACAGAGCAAGAAAGTCTCGGGGGCGGGCGGGGGGGCGGGGGGAAGAAAGAAAAAGAAAGGTTTCTTCTTTGCCACAGGGAGCCTGGGGTCATCTATCAAATAAAATAACTGAGGAAGGTGACTGCTTTTGTGGCTTTTTGTGTGGGGCCTGGAGTACTGGTAACTGTCGTTGTTGGAGTCCCTGAAATCCAAGTGTGTAAGGACAGAACATAGGAGACGGAAGAGGATTTTGTTAAGTGTTGCTGCAAACTGTTTTGTCTTCTTTTTTAGAATTGATTTTCTTTAAACTCTGCCTGTGAAACTGTGTAATTCAGGCACATCTGTAAAAACAGGTCACGCAGTGTTACCTGAAAAGGGGTCCCCATCCAGACCCCAAGAGAGCTTGGATCTCGTGCAAGAAAGAATTCGGGGCAAGTCCATACAGTAAAGTGAAAGCAAGTTTATCAAGAAAGTAAAGGAATAGGCCGGGCGCGGTGGCTCAAGCCTGTAATCCCAGCACTCTGGGAGGCCGAGAGGGGCGGATCACGAGGTCAAGAGATCAAGACTATCCTGGCTAACACGGTGAAACCCCGTCTCTACTAAAAAATACAAAAAAAACTAGCCGGGCGAGGTGGCGGGCGCCTGTAGTCCCAGCTACTCGGGAGGCTGGGGCAGGAGAATGGCATAAACCCAGGAGGCAGAGCTCGCAGTGAGCTGAGATCCGGCCACTGCACTCCAGCCTGGGCGACAGAGCGAGACTCCGTCTCAAAAAAAAAAAAAAAAAAACAAAAAAAAAAAAAAAAAAAAAGAAAGTAAAGGAATAAAAGTATGGGTACTCCATAGGCAGAGGGCGCAGTGGCTCATGCCTGTAATCCCAGCACTTGGGAGGCTGAGGCAGGTGGATCACCTGTGCTCAGGAGCTTGAGACCAGCCTGACCAACATGGTGAAACCCTGTCTCTACTAAAAATACAAAATTAGCCAGGTGTGGTGGTGCATGCCTGTACTCCCAGCTACTCGGAAGGCTGAGGAGGAGAATCGCTTGAACCCGGGAGGTGGAGGTTGCAGTGAACTGAGATCGCACCATTGCACTCCAGACTGGGCAACAAGAGTGAAACTCCGTCTCAATAATAATAATAATAATAATAATAATAATAATGCCCAACCTCCTGGGAATGCAGCCAAGTAAGTCTCCGCCTTATTTTACCCAGCCTCTATTCAAGATGGAGGCACTCTGGATCAAACGCCTCTGAGGTAGGACTGGGTATTATAAAGGTTATTTTTCTGTTGCTAAAAATTTAGGAACGTGGGCTCCTGTGTCAGTCTTGGTTTGAATCCCAACTTTGCCACTTAGTAATTGTGGGATCTTGGGTCAGTTAGTTGGCCTTTCTGTGCCACAGTTTTCTTATCTGCAAAGTAGGAATAGTAGTATTTATATTGTAGGGTTGTTGGGAGGATTATACATATGTTAATATGTGAAAAGTCTCTAGAACTTGTTAGGTTTTGAAGGGAACGCGAGGGTTAGAGAAAGACACATACACACAAACACACAAAGAGGGTGGCTTGACAGTAAATGCAGGCTTCATGTCCAGCATGAAACCTACAGAAGTGGGGGACCAGCCTAATGCCTGAGCCCACCACTGCTTACAGGCTGGGGGTACTTATAGGTATGGGTGGGAGGCGTCTGGGCAGGATGGCTTGCTGCCTGGCAGGATATTGATAAGATGTTCCTGTGATGAGGCAGTTCTGGCCCTTGTTCTGGCAGATGTCATCATGGTGTTCCTTGGAACTTTGCCCAGCAACATATGATAGGGATGTTTCTTTATTTGGGCCTTTGTCCACCTTGTGGTCGAGTGGTTAGACAGGATGTTTCTTACAGCCCCGAAACCCTGTGAAATGTTTCACTTTGACCAAGGTCTGCAAAATAGTGGGGAGCTTACAAAATGGTGCAGTTTGGACTAACAGAACTGTTGTCAGACACGTTTGAACCAGGGCAACTCCATCTTAAATAGGAGCTGGGTAAAATAAGGCTCAGACCTACTGGGCTGTATTCCAAGACATTTAAGACATTCTAAGAGATGTCTATGGAGTAGCCATTCTTTATTCTTTATTCCTTTACTTTCGTAATAAACTTGCTTTCACTTTATGGACTCGCCCTGATTTTTTTTTTTTTTTTTTTTTTTTTTTTTTTTAAGATGGAGTCTCACTCTGTCGCCCGGGCTGGAGTGCAATGGCATGATCTTGGCTCACTGCAACCTCCACCTCCCAGGTTCAAGTGATTCTCCTGCCTCAGCCTCCCCAGTAGCTGGAACTACAGGCATGCACCACCAACTCCAGATAATTTTGTATTTTTAGTAGAGACGGGGTTTCTCCATGTTGGTCAGGCTGGTCTCGAACTCCCGACCTCAGGTGATCCACCTGCCTCGGCCTCCCAAAGTGCTGGGATTACAGGCATAAGCCACCACGCGCGGCCCTGAATTCTTTCTTTCATGAGATCCAAGAACCCTCTCTTGAGGTCTGGATCTGGACCTCTTTCCTGTAACACTATGACTAGTATAAAATGTCACTCAATAGATGTTAAATATTATTATTACTCTGGGAAATTTGGGGATGATTTGGAGATGAAAATGGGGTTTTGACCAGTATAAATTATAATTAACTTACAATACTCTAATTTGAATACACACAAAGAGCTTTAGTAGCATAAAAAATGAGGTATCACAGTCTGCCTACTGGAACTTTATTGTTGAAATCACCTATGCAAAAATTATAACAGTGAGAAAATTACAGCAAAAGAGATCTGACCTAATCAAACCCTGTCTCGCCTTTAGCTTTCAAACTGCCCTTAATTATACCTGGGCTTGGGCCAAGCTAACTTTGGGAGACATTTATAGTTTAAATGATAATGGCCCTTCCCCCAAACTCAATCACCTTTGTAAAGCTATTGAGAGAACATCAGGCTAGGAGAATGAGAGGAGCCTGAATTCCGCTAAAGTGTAGACATCAAGGAGTGCTAGCCAGTATTCCAGAGGTCACAGCTTACCTAATTACTCCTGCAGATAGCATCACTCTTGTAGAACCTAAGATTGGACTTTTGAGACATCTTTTCAGGCTTTTTTCTGTATTTTTTGGGCATGTCTGAAGACTGATGGGTCCAGGTGTATCATAGCTCCACCTCGATCCAACTACCACTTCTGTGGCCCCACCCAGAAGGACTCAGCACACAGGAGAACCATTTGCCACACCCCTGTGATTGCACCCCAACCAGTCGGCAGCAACTCCCACTCTCTTCCCCCAAACTATCCTTGAAAATCCCTAGCCTCTGAATTTTTGGGGAGGTTGATTTGATTAATAATAAAACTACAGTCTGCTGTTTAGCTTGCTCTATGTGTGTAAAACTTTTCACTATTGCAATTCCCCTGCCTTGATAGATTGGCTCTATCTGGGTAGCAGGCAAGAAGAGCCCATTGGGTGGTTTCATTGTGGAAATATTTGGCAATTTGAGAGCAAGGCGCAGTTGGCAATATTACACATAAAAGGCACAAATACCAAGGTTTCCCAAATAAGGCATGATAAGCAGAAAAGACTCGATCTAAAACTTGGATAAGAGTTTGGATGCGAGAGGAAGGCTTTGAAGGAAGACTCATCCTGTGAGAACACAGCAGAAGGTATGACCTTTAAAGGCTAAAGATGCGTACACTTTTGTTTGAGGCAAATAAGAGTAAGAAAGATACTGCTGATAAATAGTCAAAGTCAAACTCTGTAAAATATGTGAAGAGATTTATTCTGAGCCAAACTAGTGACCAACGGCCCATGACACAGTCCCAGGAGACCTTGAGAACATGTGCCCAAGGTGACTGGGCTACAGCTTGGTTTTATACATTTCAGGAAGACATAAGACATCAATCAATACATATAAGATGTACACTGGGGCTGGATGTGGTGGCTCACGCCTATAATCT